GGAGGGTGGTGCATGTATGGAATGAGCTGCCAGAGGAGGTGGTGGAGTCTGGTATAATTACAACATTTAAAATACATCTGATAGGTACGTGAATGGGAAGGGTTAAGAGGGTCATGGGCCAAATACAGCCAATTGGGACTAGATTAATTTCGGACATCTGGTCGGCATGGATGAGTTGGTCCTAAGGGTTTGTTTCCATGCTGTGCATTTCCATGACTCTATAACTGTGAGTCAGGAGTGTGATGGACTCGAAACGTTAACTCTGATTTTCTCTCTCCCTCTCTCTCCACAGATGCTGTCAGACCTGCTGAGTTTCTCCAGCACTCTCGGTGTTGTTTCAGATCTCCTGCGTCCACAATACTTTGTTATTCATTATGTAAAAATTGGCTTGAGTCCTGACACCTTGGATTTCATCAATATGTCATGTGGTGGAGCCAAACTGGACTCAACATACCTTGTCGTATTTGTAGAATTATTATTTGCCCTGAAAATACACAATTAGATAAAATTGATAAGTTTTGTGGGTTTTATGGCAACAAAGAGAAAACAATTGAGTGGTTTTACCTTTGAAAATTGATTTGCCTAAAATTCATGCTCTAAAATGCACCTATGTATTTGTCCTCCATCCTGAAATTTTATTAACAAAGTCTGGAGATGTCTTTCCCATCGTCCAAAAGAAACGCGATTGGGAAGTAGATTCAGGGCTGAGCTGGAGAGATTTTTAATCAGGAAGGGAATCAAGGGTCAGAGGGAAAAGTGGAGTTGAGGATGATCAGATCAGACACGATCTCATGGAATGGTGGAGCAGACTCGATGGGGTGAATGGCCAACTGCTGATCAAATGCTTTAACATGATAGCTTTTATTTTCATTTGTTCAGTGGTGATGCATAATTAGGCTCACTTGTTGACGTCATGTCTGTAACAACGTGAGAGCAAAAGTGCATGTGTGTGTGCGCACATGAGAAAAATTGTGTGGGTGTGTGCGTGAACAAAAGTATGTGAGAGAGAGAATGTGCATGTGTGTGAGCGAGGGAGAGAATGTGGGTGTGTGTGCGCGAGAGAGAGAGAGTGAGAGATAGAGAGGAGTCTGTGTGTATGTATCTGAGAGAGAGAGAGGATGTTTTGTGTGTGAGAGGAAGGTTTGCATGTGTGAGACAGAAGTCTGTATTTGTGTGTGTATGAGAGAGGAATCTCTGTGTGTGTGTGAGAGGGAGAATGTGTGTGTGTGAGAGGGAGAATGT